TATCCGATCCCATTAGTACTATACCCCCTCTTTTGGGGTGATTCTCTATAACACCCCCCTTTTCTTATAGATTCCTATTATAGTTGTTATTGAGTCAGATTCCTTACGAGGGGATGTCGCGAGAATTTCTCCCTAGATGAAATTTCGCGTGTACATTCACTTACCGTAGAATTTGCCGAGATTTCCCCCCTCCCACAATCTCGCTGTCGCTCGCCACGCAAGCAAATCTTCCGCTGCAAGTGGCCCAAGATGTGAAAATCACCTTCTCACATGAGCCATAGACACGTGACCAAACCAGTCAAGAACTGACTGGTACAGTAACAACGCACCACCGTGCGCGATTCTGGCCTCGGCGGTTGCATGAACCCTCGCTACGCAATTGGCTTTGTTTTCACCCTATCAAGTGCCAAAATTGCCCACTGGAATTTGCCACGTGGCAGATTCCAGTGGGCAGTCACGTTATCCTCTTATACTCAGTTTTGCGGCACTGATCAACAATCTTGAAGTGAAGTCACTGTGAAAGTTTAGAAGAAAGAAGAGGGTTGCACTAGCAAGAATGAGGATACAAATAGCAAACCCTAGAAGGGTTGTACTCGCTATAGAGCACCCCACTACAGGCTAGAGCATAATATTTTGACACACCCCTATAGCCAAAGTGGGGTGTAATCAGCAGAGCAAGCATAACAGTACAAGCTCAGGGTGGATCACAATGTCACCACACATTCTGAGCACAAGTTCAAGAAGCAATAGTTTAAGTTCACAATTATGAGCAAAGCTAGGGGCTATCGCATAGGGCAAGTGAGGAGGAGGAGAGAGAGTGAGAGGAGAGGAGATAGGAGGCGACGGCTGAAGCTACAGATACACGGGCAACAGGAGGCACACTGGCATAGCGGCTACCGGAACAACGCTCCGGAATACTGGAGTAACTGGCCCCGCGGCTAAAGTAGCGGCAGACGAGCAACGGACCCACGGGCGACTGGCACAGCTGGCTACGACTGGGCTACCGGAGCAACTCCCCGGAATACAGGTGCTACTGGCAACACGACGGCAACCTCCATTCAGCTTCCCCAAACTATCCAACTCCCCCTGACACACACCCGCTGCTACACCGCTAGCTCCACTCCCCCTTCACCCCCCCTTAGTACCACTCCACCGGCTCCAACACGTCCACCCCCCCCTCAGCGGCAGCTGCAGCACAGGGAGACGGTGGAGGAGGAGGAGCAGGGAACGGCACATAGTGAGGTCACCCCCATACCCCTCATCCCCAAACCCTATCTCAGGAGAATGGGGAGCAGGAGGAGTGGGGCACCAGTAGAAGCATGGGGGAACAGCGGGGAGGGCAGGGGCATCAAGGAAGGGGCCCACCACGGGCCTGTTAGGGTCCCCCGAGCCGCGCGCACGCGGCCTGAGCCGCGCGCGGGCCTGGCGCCGCCCGTACGGGCCGCGCGCGGGCCTGGCGCAGCCCGTACGGGTGGCGCGCGGGCTTGGCGCAGCCCGTACGGGCCGCGCGCTGCCTGTACGGGCCGCACGCAGACCTGGCGCAGCCCGTACATGGCCCGTACGGGCCGCGCGTAGGCCATGACGGGCGACGGGGGGCGACGACTGGGTCCCCGTCGTTCGGAGCATCGCCCCAGCCCGCCGCGCGCCTCGGGGCGCACGGCGGGCAGAGAACCGCCGCGCGCCTCGGGGCGCATGGCGGGCAGAAAACTGCCACGCGCCTCGGGGCGCACGGCGGGAAGAAAAACTGCCGCACGCCACGGGGCGTGCGGCACCAAGTGTTGAGGTAGGAGTTGCAGCGGAAGCTAGGAGGTGGTAAGCCCACCCACAGGATCGATCCAAGGGGATCGACCTGCTCTGATAGCATTTGAAAGTTTAGAAGAAAGAAGAGGGCTGCACTAGCAAGAATGAGGATACAAATAGCAAACCCTAGAAGGGTTGTACTCGCTATAGAGCACCCCACTAGAGGCTAGAGCATAATATTCTGATAGTCAGACCCCCTGATTTTGTTTCACATCTTTTCTACTTGATAAAAAATATACCATGTAATAAGACTCGGGTATTATGCAGGATTTTCCTTTGAGGAGACCCCCCCCAAATTTTCCCAGTGGTTTTCATAATACCCTAGGTGTTTTATCCGGGAGAATACGGTATGTCCTAAGGTCCTAAGACCCTACATGCTCTTAATACCATGTTAGAGAAGGTAGCTAGGAATGTTTGACTATCGAGTGAGTTGGGTACAAGGATGAGAACCCTAAGGGGTTGTACCCTACATTGGCTACCCTACTACAACCTACACCTAATTATATACCATATATAGTTTGACACCCTGTCATCCTATCGTGAGTATTTATCTTGTATCTATGTACTTTCATTTGCCCATGTACGGTATGTTTATATGTAGCGGTACTCATACGCCCTTTTAACCGTCCCTCCCTCCCCGTGCGCAGATGTGGCGAAACAGTTAAAAGAATTTTGGCACTTTGTCCGCGACACACGCCATGAGTACGACATCGACAATCGGTACGTCATCAATGCCAACCAGACGCCTTTGTGGCTGGAGATGCCGGCGACTACCACGGTGGAGCAGACGGGCGTGAAGTCGGTGCCCATCCGCAGCGGTGGTTACCAGAAAGAGAGAGTCACTGTGATGCTCACGTGCACGTCGACGGGCGAGAAGTTGAAGCCGTGGGTGTTTTTCAAGCGCAAGACCCTCCCAAAGGGTGACTTCCCGAAAAGTAAGAAGCTGCGTATGCGCGTGTTTTGGAGGGGAAAAACAAAACTAAAATCTAACCACCGCTTGCTTGTATGCAGATGTCGTGGTCGGCTGCTAAGCTAACTGGTGGATGGAGGCCTCGGGCGTCATCGAGTGGCTCGATGCAGGCGTGGTGCCGTTCCTGAAACCGAAATTCGGCTTGCAGAGCCGGAGCGCCATGCTGGTGCTGGACTCCTATCGTGGTCACCTGACACCCAAAGTCAAGGCAAAATTTGCGGAGCTCAACATTCTGCCGACGATCATCCCGGTGGGATGCACGGCAGACTTGCAGCCGCTCGATGTGTCTATCAACAAAAGCTTCAAGGCGAGTGTTCAGCAGCAGTACCAGACCTGGTTCGAGCAGGACGGCATGAACATCCTGCTGAACAATTCCACCTCAAATCAGCACAATAGCGAAGACAAAATTTCCTATCATCTGTTAAGGTAATAAGTCTCAATGTGCCTCCACCACACAAACGAAACGGAAGATGCACTCCTCTCACCCTCGCACCTTCTCGAATGGTCGATTTTATTACATTACCTATATGGTACAGCATACTTATAGAATGGGCAAACAAGATACGCAACGCAGTCTACGGTAGCGAGCAGAGGCTCAAGCACGTGCATGAGATCCCCAGTGCTAAGCGGCTCCCCATGGAACATGGTGGGGCTGCCCTGGCATCGGCGGCCGTTACTGTCACCCTCTTACCCTCTCACCCACTCACCCTCGCACCCTCTCACCCTCACACTCTCTCACCCTTGCACCTTCTCTCACCCTCGCACCCTCTCACCCTCACACCCTCTCACCCTCGCACCCTCGCACCCTCTCACCCTCGCACCCTCACACCCTCTCACCCTTGCACCCTCGCAAAACTCTCACCCTTGCACCCTCGCAAAACTCTCACCCTTGCACTCTCGCAAAACTCTCACCCTTGCACCCTCTCACCTCCTCACCCTCCACCACACAAGCATCATCGAAGCTGCGCTCCCTCTTACTCTCTGTAACACGCTCTCTCAACCCCTCTCCTCAGCCATCACTGCTGCGTCATCTTCCATCACCTGTGGGCTGAAGGAAAAAACAAATACAGGCTCCTCAGAAAGTCATTACCTGAGTTGCATTCCTCTCGCCTTCTGCAGCACGCTCCTTCAACCCCAATCCTCAGCCAACACTGCTGAAGTCAGTTTTGAGAAATCTCAAAAGTGACCACTAAAAAATTACTCCAACACAAAATGACAAAAGCATCACCGCAGCAGCACTCCTCTTACTCCCTGCAGCTGAGTGGAGAAAAACGTTGCGTTCTGCGTTTGAACGCAAAACACTGAACGCACAGAAAAGCGCAGATCGCATGAGGATTTTTTTTCCGGTCAGCCCGAATGTCATTTTCGCCAAAAATCTACCCCTTTCAACCCAAATCGACCCCTGAAAACCAGCCCTCCAACCGAAATTCCCAACCCCCCACTAATATGATGGGAAAGAATATTATGTGGGGGAAAGAAATTGCTCAAATCTGTGCTATATCCTTCCCCCCTCCTCCCGATGCCCTATTGGAAGTTCTTTTTGCCTGCCCGGTAGTTATTTTACCCTGCCCGGCCATGCGTTTTCGTAGCGTTTTCAGGACCCCCAAAAAAGTGTTCTGCATTTTAAACACAGTGTTCAAACGCCAGCGTTTAAAACGCTGAACGCGTTTTTCTCCACTCAGCCCTGCAGCACACTATCCAAGTCTCCTTCGCCAGCCATCGCTGCTTGAGTCACTAAAAAATTACTCCAACACTAAATGGCACAAGGTCACCTCAGCTGCACTCCTTTCACTCTCTGTAGCACACTCTCCAAGTCCCCCTCCCCAGCCATCACAGCAGCATCCCCCTCCATTGCCTGTGGGCTGAAGGGAACCAATGGGTAAACAAAGAGGTGGACATGAGCTGGATTAGGAGCCTGCTCCACAGGTACAATCTTCTGACCAGAAACAGAGCACAAACAAGTCCAGCTGCAATGATTATTTCATATTGGCTCTTACATTCCTTGTGACTGTACCACTTACCTACTGGTTTAGATATGCTATTGTGGTTGTGCACTGATTGCACACAAGTCCCTGTTTGCACAGCGAGGAAAATGAGCTCAACTGTTTCGAATGGGCCTGTGGTCGTGCACTGACCCCAACACGTACATCGCCCTCCCCAGCACGTCCTTTAGATGCACGGGTTTACCCTTTCCACCTCCTTGAATATGCTTCATGACTCAGCAGCTCACCTGTTTTGGACGGGCCCATGGTCGTGCATCGACCGCACCACATACATCGCCCTCCCCAGCACGTCTTCCAGATGCACTGGGCCTATTGTGCGGCTGTCCCACGCCTCCTGTGTGCGTCCAAGGGGGAAAAAAGAGAGAGAGGTTATAGGGGCCCATTGTAGAGACTATAGGGGGCCATTGTAGAGATTATAGGGGGCCATTGTAGAGATTATAGGGAGCCATTGTCGTGCATTCTCGCGGGGAACTCTCACTCACAAGGCACGCCCTCTAGGTGCACTGGACCACACGTGCAACTGTCCCGTCCCACGCCTCCTGATGACTTTTGAGTCGACTCAAAAGTCATTTCGCACTGGGCCAAACGTGCAACTGCCCCACACCTCCTGCCCGCATTATAGGAAGATATGGATGGGGAAGGGGCGCATGGGAAGGGGCGCATGGGAAGGGGCGCATGGGAAGGGGCGCGTGGGAAGGGGCGGATGGGGAAGGGGCGCATGGGAAGGGGCGGATGGGGAAGGGGCGCATGGGAAGGGGCGGATGGGGAAGGGGCGCATGGGAAGGGGCGCATGGGAAGGGGCGCATGAGAAGGGGCGCATGGGAAGGGGCGCATGGGAAGGGGCGGATGGGGAAGGGGCGCATAGGAAGGGACGCATGGGAAGGGGCGCATGGGAAGGGGCGCATGGGAAGGGGCGCATGGGAAGGGGCGGATGGGGAAGGGGCGCATGGGAAGGGGCAGATGGGGAAGGGGCGCATGGGAAGGGGCGGATGGGGAAGGGGCGCATGGGAAGGGGCGCATGGGAAGGGGCGCATGGGAAGGGGCGGATGGGGAAAGGATGGTTGGGGAAGGGACGGTTGGGGAAGGGACGGTTGGGGAAGGGACGGTTGGGGAAGGTATTAAGTAAGTGCCCCATAGAATGTGGATGGACAGAGAAGTCGAACAGGTGGGCACGGCGATATATCATCACAGGTTTGCAAATGAAGTTGTTGAGGCACCTCGAAAAGAGAAGTCCAGCGACGTTGGAGTTGCTTGTGAGAACTCTCAGATGCAACTCTTTTATCGCTGGACCTCTCAAAAGAGGTTTGCGAATGATGCTGTTGAGGCGCCCGCCTAGGCGCCTCAAGAAGAGGTATTGCCTTGGCAGGAATATACCAGCGCAAACGCCATACTCATCACCATTGATTGAGTCTTCTAAGAACTCATTGATTATCACCCTTGAGTATACCTTAACTCCTTTTGAGGCGCCTCAAAGATCGTCACCCTTGAGTATACCTGAACTCGCCATACTCATCACCATTTCCAAGAAACCTTAAAATGATAAACCCCTCGAACATACCTTTGCAGGAACATCGGGGTTATCTGCAAGCAACCAATCAACCTTCAGCAAACCTATCCAATTTTCAATTCAATTACCCTCAAATAACCTCCCTTGAACATACCTATCCATATGTCAAGTATCCTAAAATAGTCACCCTACCTCTGCAGGAACATCGGGGTTGTCTACAAGCACCCAGAAGCGATCCCTCTCTACCCTTCTCTATCTTTCTCTACACATTTTCCAATAACCCTTCAGAAAGCACCCTCTTGAACACACCTCTGCAGGAACATCGGGGTTGTCTGCAAGCACCCAGAAGTGATTCGGCTCTATCCTCGCTCAATCAATCACCCTTGAACATATTTCTCACTTTCCCAAGAACCCTTAATCATCACCCCCTTGAGCATACCTTAGCAGGAACATCGGGGTTGTCTGCAAGCACCCAGAAGTGATTCGGCTCTATTTGAAACGGCGCATCCGACGGCTGAAATGATGCAATCTCGTCTCCAGCAACGGCTGCGACTCGCCGAAACACGACTGTAGGCCTTGCTGTCACGGTGGTGTCACAAGGCTCTGCTGTGGTGGTGGTGCTGCTGCTGCGACTTGCTGGAAGCTCTGCAGGTGCATGGGCGTTGATGGATTCAGTATGCGAGTAAAGGGTTGTGGCCGCTTGGGGACTGACTTGGCTGCGGGATGCAGCAGTGGTTGCGGTTGTGGTTGTGGCTGTGGTTGTGGTTGTGGCCTCAAGGCTCACACATAGCACGTCCCCCACATGAACTCTTCTGCATAAGCAAGCAAAACAGAAAAAGAAGGAGAACAACTGGCTGGCTTGGCCACTGGATGCAGCAGTGGTTGCGGTTGGGGCCTCCAGGCTCACACACAGAACGTCCCCCACATGAACCTTACTTACTGCACGAGAGAAAGGGGTTAGGAGGGTTCGAGTGGGACAGGGAGGGACTGAGATAGAATCTGCTCTCATGGTGATGCTCCTGCCTCTTGCTGGAAGCTCTGCTGGTGCATGGTCGTTGAGGAATTGCGTGTGTGAATAGAGGATGTGGCCGCTTGGAGACTGGCTTGGCCGCGGGATGCAGCAGCGGTGGTGGCTGTGGTTGCCTTACTGCATAGAAAGGCAGGAGATTGAGAGGGATTGAGAGGGATTGAGAGGGAGGGAGGGATAGAAAGAGATTGAGAGAGGAGCTCGAAATGATGTAACAGAGTGAGCGGCTTACAAAGTGAGCACCTGGCTGACTGGGTCACTGGGTGGGAGCTGCAGGGCTCTCCAAGCTCCCCACATATAGCATGCTTCCCCACACCACATGTCACCCTGACACATGATTCGAAGGGCTGCAGCATTAGAGAGGACGCAGGGCTATCCAAGCTCACATATAGCATGCAAGCGAGAAAAGGGGAGAGAGAAGCTGCAGCTTTTCCCCACACCACATGTACCTTATTGCACGAGAGACAAGGGGACTGACAGGGGATTATATGTGTGCATGCTTACACGGCCACTGCATGTATGTGTGCATGCTTACACGGCCACTGCATGTATGTGTGCATGCTTACACGGCCACTGCATGTATGTGTGCATGCTTACACGGCCACTGCATGTATCTGTGCATGCTAACACATACCATTGCATGTATGTGTGCACGCTTATACGGGCGCCATTGCATGTATGTGTCCATGCATACATGGGCTTGGGGATGTATGTGTGCATGCTTATACGGATTTAGGGATGTATGCGTGCATCTCTGCATGTATGTGTGCATGCTTACACATGTGTGTGTGCATGCTTACACGGAACGAGGCAGCAGAACCCGATGAAGCACCCACTCGTCCTTTATCCCCTTTATAGTCGGCTTCATGGCCTCGCTTCCAGCCTCTGACGGCTCAAGCTGCGTTATCAGTGGGAACTTTTCCTTCATTCCAAGAGCGATGAATTTCATCCAGTTATAGAGTGGTAGCTCCCCTCGTGGATTCCTTGAGTAAAAATACTAACAAGAAAAAACAGAAACGGAAAAAAAGGAAGACTTCTGAGCTAGAGACTGGATTCAAAAGTCATCCAGTCCAGTCATAAAGTGGCAGCTCGCCTCTTGGGTTATTCTGGAAAAAGGCTTGATACAAGAAAAACAGAAGAGACGAGAAAGGGAGGAAACTGGGAGTAAGATTTTTGAGTCACCTCAATAGCCAACTAAGTTCTCATCCAGTTATAGAGTGGTAGCTCCTCTCTTGGGTTCTTCTGGTAAAAAGTCTGGTACGAGAAAGTGAGAAAGCAGAAAAAGCGCACACATATTGAACAGAAAGGGCCTTTTTCTACATCTACACATAACTTGCACATAGCTGAAACTTGTTCCGAATTTCGCAGAAACGAATGAGGGTGCGACTCACTTGCTGGCAAACAAAGGCAAGAACTTGAGCCCGTAGAACTTGAGCCCTCTCCCGGTAGAACTTGAGCCCTCTCCCGGTAGTACTCTAGCTTCGTGAGCATGGATGCCATGATGATAGGTGCCGTGCCGTACCGTGCTCCTAGCACTGGATTACCCATGAAATCATGTGCATATCCCCAGAATGACTCACATGCTGGCAGACGAAGGCAAGCACTTGAGCCCTCTCCCGGTAGTACTTGAGCTTCGTTAGCATGGGCGCCATGATGATGGGTGCTGTGCTGTGCCGTGCTGTGCTGTGCCGTGCTGTGCTGTGCTGTGCTGTGCTGTGCTGTGCTGCTAGCACTGGGATTGCTTACACCTGCAGGAAATCGATTGATTGCAGCTGCTATTGCTAGCTTCTGCTGCGCTTTGCTGCCTAAAAACTCAAGATCCTATTTATCGCAGATACTATTGCTAGCTTATCATGCGACTGCAGGTTTTATTCGCACAAACTGCCTTGACCAGCAGCGGCGCATGCTCTGTTTCGCCCTCTCTTCAGCTAACCTGGCCGCTTCAGCTCGCCTGACTGACTGCCTGAGACGGAAAATGGTTGGCTGTTGCTGAAGGTAGCCTTATTGCTTCAGCTCGTCTGACTGACTGCCTGAGACGGAAAACGAGTGGCTGTTGCTGATGGTAGCCTCATTGCTTCAGCTCGTCTGACTGACTGCACTCCGTGACAGGGTTTACCTGGTCTGAGTAATGGATTTGACAGACTTCGACAGAATAAGTTCGTCTGCTGGCTGTACTCCGTGACAGGCAGTTAGCTTCCCGCAGCTACTCCAATCAATTGACGAGTTCAGCTTGACTGAATGACTTTGACAAATTCTGCTCGTCTGACTTGCTCTGACGTATTCCGTTTTACTGACTGACTGACTTCAACCGGTCCAGCTCGTCTGACTGACCGACTCTGACAGATTCAGCTTGTCTGTTAGCTTCACTCCGTGAGAAGAATCTTGATTCCGCTCGTCTGACTGACGGATCCTGAAAAATTGAGCTTCTTTGACAGACTGGATTAAATTCTTCTCGTTTGCTCCTCCCACTTGTGTCTCAGAAGCACCTTGGTCTGATTAACTGCGCTCTCACTTCGTCGATTGTGCTCAAACCAGCAATGAACTACTCATATGTTTTTATTTGATGTAATTGCTATGCGAATAATTCAAACTGCGGTCTCTCTCAAAATAGACACCAATTGTGTTCTAAGCGGAGAAATTCTGGGACCCTGCTCGCACCGTTCCGCTCCATACTAATCCTGAAGGCTGGACCTTTTTTGGTGCTCTCGTTCTCGCTTTCTCACCTCAAGCATGTCAGCAAGCCACCCCGCTTCCGAGATCAGCGCAATGAACGACGGAATCTCTACTCGCGATAAGCCTACACGTGGCTACGCGCTCAGACAGCGTGACGAGATTCGTCGTAACTCTTCACTCCGCCAAATCATAGGCGACGAACGATGTTCGCATGTCTCGCTATGCGATCTGCGATCAGATGAGGTTCGGTTCGTCTCGGTTCGGAATCTGATGACGTGAGCAGGTTCGGTCTGGAGTTCCCTAACCGAGACAACAGAGACAGCAAGACGAACGAGGAATGACAATGCGGACTGAACAAGCGCGTAGCGAGCTTTGAGTCTTTGTTGTGCTAGTATCCAGTTACTTAAACGGACCCAAAATCGTTTCTCATTCTCCCCTAGGAACCCTTATGAGGTATCTATCGGCACGTTTGTCGTGAGAAACCACCATGACGCTTCTAGAATTTGCGAAGGAGCGAGACGGAAAGTTGGAAAAGATCCTCGTTATTACATCCTCCGGGAGTTCGTTACATGTGTGAATCGACCTGGTTCCACCCCGTTATACGCTACGCGCCCTAATTGCAATCAAACAAATGAACAAGCCTGTTTGTAGGGCGCTACTGGCTGTAGCTGACTGAGAGCGTGGGCATTTGCTATTTCATAACATGGAATGCGGCGCAGTGTACCACAAGGCGTTAACATTACAAACCAATTGCTTGTCCAGAGAAAGGAGTACTACGAGTTTCTGAACACAACACACAAGCATACAGGACGATACTACCATGTACCATCACTGCAAAGCGACGTCGTTTGTGATGCCGACGCGACGGAGTTTCGTCAAACGGAGGCCCCAACAAGAATGTCAGATTCTGAAAGACGATAAGTATTCTTCGTAAAATATCCGTGATATTGCATTCCATGGCCATGACTGCCTCATCCTGCAAACTGGCCAGATAACTGCGAGAGGCAAAGGAAATGGATTGGATTTTGGAAACAAAAAGATACGTGTGTCATAAACTTCGTCCAAAAACATCAAGAAAATAAAAAACGGAAGAAACGCAGCAGCATGATGGGTGTTCCAGCTCTAAGTTTCCACTGCGTTTCTTATCCTTCACCTGTGAAATACTGACTCATTGTGATACTCCCAAAAGCACCAAACAGCGCATTCCAATGCACCGTAATCTCCCGGATAGTAGACCCTAGGGTCTTGTGTAAAATTCATAAAAAAATAGGGGGGGGTCTTGTCAACGGCACAAGATTGTTTAGTACCCGGGTCTTATTAAATTGATATGATTTTTAAAGGTGTAATCGAGTGCCTCATTGATGAGGATGCTTGACATTTTTTCCCCTGTTGTTTGGGCCGCACATCTGTGCGACTTCTGCGATGTAGCCATATCACACAGGGGAATCAGCTTGTGGCCTTCTCATTGGCCGAAATCGCACGTTACCACATTCCAGCATTGAGATTCGCTTTGTGGCTCGTCAGCGTGCCATCCCACCTCGACACCCTGACACATGCACGGCTCGAGCGCAGGGGCTGCACGATGGCCCGTGCAGCAACCCCTACTGTTCAACGGGAGGCACGTCAATCCTTTCACCCATCACAATCCTTCTCCTCCGCCTGTTTCTTCATCCATGCACGAAACTGATTTCTGCTCGGCAGAGTGGTGCGCTTAGGGCCCGTAGCTCTAGGATGGTCGTCTTAAGATGGCTGGAGGAAGTACTTCGAGCAGTAGCTAGAGGTGTAAGCTATCATTCACGATGGTGACGTCTCCAGATTCAGGGATGTCGCACGCAAGGCGCCCTCGTCCCACTAACGTTAATCGAGCATCGCAAGTACGAGTTTCACCCCGGCCCGTTTTGCCAACAACTTCACCTTCCTCCAGCGATCCTAGCGACAGTTCCCATGGCATTCGCCGACCGCCGCTTCCTAGAGTCGTGATCCCTACTTTTCCGGAGTCTAGTCGCCCGCAAGGCATGAAACGAAGGATTCTAGATGCTGCGCCTCCTTCCCCTCGTCATAGGATGACGAAACGCTCTCGTAACGCGTTCACCGCCAAGGAGAAATTGCACT